TGGGTCTTGTTGTAATGCAACGGCATCGGTGGTGATAGCAGTGCTTGAAGAGGGAAGCTGGTCAGCTGGGCTCATCTCTGGTTTCAGCTAATGCTGATGCAAATAATGAGTTGCAGTTGCTAGGGGTTAAAAGGAGTGTTCTGAGTGTGTGGGAAGGAGAAGAGAGGTGTGAAGAGGAATGAACTGGTCTTTGTGCCCTGGGAGCATTTTGCAGGGCTAGTAGCTAGCGGCATGGACGTGAACTGACTGAACAATAGGGAGACAGAAGGACAGACAGTGCTGCTGTCTGAACTGAAGTAGCTGTGAAACAGTCTATGGAGGCTGTGCCACTGTGTGTCTGAACTCATGGGGAAATCTAAGTAACAACACTGAATCAGGGCTGAGTTTCAAGAATAAAACCTGTGAGGTAGGTGCATCTTCCATCTGCACCCTGCTTCGTGGCTCTGGCAGGGTCTTAGAGAGTGCTGTGAAGGAGGAAGCTGACTCTGCAGATGAAGGCTCCAAAGATGTTCAGGTGCTTGAGGCAGAGCAGAAGCCCATGATGAGCCTGAGCTGTCACCATTTAGTGACTGGAAACTCACAAGCACCGTAGGTGGGCTAGAATCAAGCTGGCCGCTGTTCTAAGTTGGAGGCAAGTGGGAGATGGATGTGTTTCTCTGGCAGTGTCCTTCTCTTATGTTGCAGTTAAGATCCCCAGACTTCTGTTGGTCTGAATAGGTTTTATGGCTCGATATGTTGAAAATACTTAGGTGCATGTGGAGCGTGGTTCATTTAAAGACTATCTGGAACTTCTTATTAACCTCTTCCGTGCCGGAAAAGGGACTACTGCTGTCTGAGCTGTCTAGCACGCAGTTTCAAGACATCGTGTTCCAATCCAGGGACCGTTCAGCTGCAAGCTGCATCAGGCTGGTTTCTGGGACATACTGTGCTCTCCAAGGATAACGAGGTGTATTCCTCTAGCTTTGGGGGTGCCTTCCTACCCGAGTCCTCCAGGTAGGTGGAGATCTGCTATAAGCAATAGCAAGTTTCCATTCGAGATGGTAGAAAGAGGGAATTTGAAATGTTTGAGGACTCTGTGAATCTCTTGCCCCAACTCACTGCTTTTCCTGAAGAACATCGAGGGAAGAGTTTCTGGGAAATCATCATGCAGGGTGCAGCGTGGAGGTGTTAGTTTGGATTGTGAGCAGGTAGGGGAAAGCATTTGCTACCAGGTGTTCCCACCATATGGGTAAGAACACGAAGTTCGTATTGGTTGCCAAAACTATGCAGGCCTTTTTGCTTATCTTTTTTGTTAATGAGCAATGCAGCCTCTCTGTTCTGCCTGTGGACTTTGCCCTGCAGGCCTCTAAGTAGCACTGGCACCTTGAAAACAAACAGCCCCCCCCCGCTTTTTATTTACTTTTGAGGAAAAAAGGCTTCTTTTTGTGCGTGAGGGCTGAATTGTCTCATGTAGGTCAACAAACAGCCTTTCACATTTCCCCTCCGTGCAGTGACTACATAAGGGCTGGAGAAGCAACTGGCCAAGCCAGCCCTTGCCGCGTTAGAGAAGCGTTCCACGCTCCTCCCGTCACTTGCTGTGAAGCGGCCTGAGCCACGCTTGCTTACTCTAGAAGAGATGAATGACGTGGTGCCTGAATTGCCCTGCTCCTGCTCCTAAAGCTGCTTACAACGCTGATCCCGAGCTGCTGTTAGAAAGCGTGGGGAAACCTGCAAAGCTCGCCTGGAGTTGGTGGGCCTTGGACAGAGCCGAGAGATATGAAGGTCTTAAAGCAGTTGAGAAATAAAGGAGCAACTGCTTTTCAGTCCCAAGGAGTATTTGCTGACTCTCAGCACCCTGCCTGAGAGGACTTATCTGCCCTCCTTGGTGATGTGAAGAGCAGGATACGAATTTGCCTTTTTATCAGCTGAATTCAGTGCTGAAGGATCACCTGCGCAGGTGGTCGACGTGTCCATCCTGTCCTTCGCTGGCAGGACTCCAGTATTTCTGGAGTGTCCCACGTTCTGCTGCTGAGGAGCTTCTGCGCTAGGTCATGGACTGACCTTCCTCCTGTTGTATTTTTATGTATATATAATGCTTTGGGCCATATTCAAAATGGTCCTTGAGCAGAAGTGTGTTATGTGGGGGGGGTAAAAAGAGAAAATATAGAATAAATGTATATTTTTGTTTGTAAAATAAAGAAATAAAATTAAGTTTGGCATAAATGGTCATACTTTCTTTCTCAAATCATCCATATTATGGAGAAAAAATAATTTTCAGATCTGTTTTTTAAATCCTTGAACACATATGGCAGATAATAATGGAATAACGTGATGTCCTTTTGTCAGAGATGGATTTTTCTTTCTTGGAAGGCTGTTACTAGGACAGCAGATGACTGTGCAGGGAGTGGACTCCAGGTCTAAATAACAGTCAGTGAAGCCGTTGACTCTTCTCTCGGTAACTAGATCTTGCTGTTCCTGGGCATGCCTTGCATCAGGGCCTTTGCCATAGGATATCTTTTACTGTTGCTTGGGAAAAGGCTGATGTGGAAGTTGGAATTGACTCTTGCTTGTCTCTTTTTCTGGGCTTTGAAATGAACCCTGTGTGTCAGGACTAACTTTCTGGCTGCAGGGAGGATGTGCTAGCTGCTGCGTAACAGCTCAGCGTGCTGGCGGTAGTCAGCACCCGTCAGGATGACTTGGGTGGGGGTGTACAGGCTGCGGAAGTGGGATGAGCTTCGTCTCTGCCTTGGGACTGGGTCATGCCCTTGTACAATAAAACCTTTCCGAGCTCCTTCCGGGCTCCCTGCAGAAAACTGGGGATTGCCCCAGGAGATGCTACTGCTGGAGTTAACTCTGAGATCCTGCGGAGGTGGAGAGGCGTTTAAATTGCTGTACAGCTCCTCCACCATTATCACGACTGCTTCCACATCGGTGTCCCACAGGCAGTGGGTCCTGCTGGGCACCCTTAGGCTCTTGGCGATCCCAGGAAGGCACGGCTGTAGGTGCGGTGTGCAGTTTGGTTTGCCTTTGCTCACTCTCCCTCCTGGATCTTTGCAGATGATGCCTGCCACCTGGCTGGAGTTACACCTGAAAAAGGCCTCAGGAAGGATGACAGGAATAACCAAAGTTAATGGCAAGACTTCTGGAGGAGTAATTACATGGTTGAGAGCTTGCCAGCCTGGAAGAGCAATGGCGCAGGTCAGTGAAACCTTGAGAGGACGGAAGAGGCAAATAAGGAATGACTGTTTGCGGGCTTTTTCAGTACAAAAGCTGGGTGCCATCAAATGAAGCAAGCAGGTGGCAGATGAGAAATGCGCAAGCGGCTGGTGAGAGCGTTCTGGGAGGAATCATGGTTTGACTTCAGCCAGACCTTTGCTCTTGCGCAGTGTTTCCGTACTGCAGTGCAAACAGCAGACGGTACCGCGATGCAGTGCCCTCGTCTTGAGAACTCGAGCGATGGGCTGAATCGTATGAAGTATTGCACAAATAACAAAAATATTCCCCGCTTCCAGGAACACGCCGTAGAAGAGGCCTGGATATCTTGGGGAGCAGAGACTCCTAGGTGCTCCCTTAAAGCTGGCCAGAGTCCCACTGCTGAGTCAAAGCCGCGCTTGCCACATTAACTGCAGTGAAGAATAAGCATTAAACAGTTAAAACTGTTCCGATGCGCTACTAAGGAGTAGATAAGTAGTGTGTCGATACTAAGGCTTCGTTAACTGTCTGGTTACAAATGCACGAAGTTGTCTAGGTCATCACGTGGCCTGTATTTCTGGGAATGCAGACACTTGGAAAAGAGCCTTCAAAGCTGCTGTTTCTCGGTCCGGTGGTTGTGTGTTACAGATATTTTTTTTTAAAACTGTTCCGATGCGCTACTAAGGAGTAGATAAGTAGTGTGTCGATACTAAGGCTTCGTTAACTGTCTGGTTACAAATGCACGAAGTTGTCTAGGTCATCACGTGGCCTGTATTTCTGGGAATGCAGACACTTGGAAAAGAGCCTTCAAAGCTGCTGTTTCTCGGTCCGGTGGTTGTGTGTTACAGATATTTTTTTTCTTTC